CAAGATTGGCCTGGGCCACACATCGTCCTGTGCAAACTGAACTGAACTGAACTGAACTTGCAGTGGACGCGGGCTTTGGAGTTATTTTAATTCAAGGTCGTTATTATAACGGCCTTGGCAATTTGCTGTTCTGTTTGAGTGTGAGTTGTATTCATGTCTCACTGGACCTTTCGATTTATGGTGTCTGCGTTTTCCTCTTTTTCAGTTTGTTACCCTCTCCACGGAGAACATCCTGTCTGCCGTAGGTTCCAACCCACACCTAGACTCAGCCCCCTTGCGGTTGTCTGGTGTATCCGTTCACGGGGGACATCCTGCCACACAGACGAGCAAAGCATCTGACAGTTATCCTTGTAGGCGATAAATTATTCTTCAGACTGAAAATCAATCCCATGATTTACAGGGATTATCCATAATTGTTTTGTACCCTTTTTAATTATGTCGCTTTCGGAAGAGTTTTGTCCACGCCTTGTCGACTACATTGTTCTCGTCGGAACACATTCATCCAATCGGACCAGTTATTCTGTGCAAAATCCCGTCATACTGAATCGGTTTCCCCCTATTGATCATGACGACTTCGTTCTTCCTCCTGATGTTGCTCTTTTCTGCCAGCCAGATGGTTGTTATAACTCTTGCGGACCGCATCAACCCAAACCACTCCATCACTCCCTACCAGGGCGCTCCCCAGTATCGTTTGTTTTTACCATAACCGATAAGGAGTCCAGCAAGACAAGGTATGGAATATGTCTGAATTTCATGAGACCTATTCGTCGTCGATATGGAAGTAGAAAACAAAGTGGCTCACTTGCTGAGGATCGACAGAAAATAAAATCTCTGAAACCGACGTCAGTTGCTGACACCAATCCGTCGAACAGGTTTAGTTTTGAAGAAGGACCAAAAATAATCACCGTAAATGATAATTCTCGAGGGACAGGCACAAGTCGTTTGCGCACTCATACATTGACTTCATTGTGCATCCTCACCCACCACCCATTCTTCTCAAAGTTTCGTGCGTTGCTGGAATTCCTACACAAGTTGATCCAGAAAATGCACGAGCGTAGCCGCTCTAAGGCTCCTGAAGGGTGAGTCATTTTCCATAGTTGTTTTTCATTTGTCCATTACCCAAATGCATGTTTTGGGGTTGTCTTGGTGTCTTGAAGTGATTCACGGGTTTGATGCTGTTACCCAAATGTCCCGGGTCCTTGAAAGGTATGTATTTTTTTAAAAAAATTCT